AATTGCAAAATGCTAATAGCTCCGTGCTTGGGCTCCGCACAGGAGTGAGCCCTGCACCAGGTTCCATGTGCTGCCTCGCTTCTCCTCTGCCTGGCATCCTACGATGGCAACAGAAATTATTTCCATTAAGTGTTTCAAAATGATCAAAGTGAGCTGGGTCGCTCCAAAACTCAGCACCTTTCAAATGGAAACATATGTCTTTTTTTTTTTTTTATCCGAAGAGGCTTTTGTACCTATGTTCTGCTTCATTCAGTTGCATGGGAGACTTTTCACAGAGGATCAATGGAACTTCCATGTTCAGATACATTGTTACTTAACAGATATGAAAGTTTTAAAAAATTTTTATTACAATTCATCACTCACTTTAGACACATTTATTCACGACCACATTTTAATAACGGGTGCCATCATGTTCTGACATGGAAAGGGTTCATCTGGAGTCTAATGTGGTGGGAAATCTTACACGAGGCAAGGAAATTGACTCTGAGTCTAATAATAGTTTGAAAGCCCACGAAGGGTCATAACACAGATGTGGTCACCAGATGTTCCCCAGCCCTGCTGCGGAGGCAGCCTAAGTAGCAACATGATGGATTTAGGTTACGTAAAAGAAAAGATTTCCAATCCTAGAAAACATCGAAATGAGGAGCTAAATCTCCTTGCCTGGAGTTTTTAATTCTTTTTTTTAATATAGGGGTGTTTACATTTTGGAATAAACTAATCATAGTCCTTGCCTGAGGATGAATAATACAGATTCCTAAGAAGCTTCCAGCTTTCACAGTTTATAATAGAGAGCACCGGGCCAAGAGTACTTTCAGGAGATTGTGGATGAATTGCCTAACACTTAGCCAAAGCCTCCTGCGTGCCTTGCCTTCTCTGACCCTTCTGACAAGTCTGCAAACAGGAGAGCAGGGTCCTCTCAGCTATTTCGCTGGCCACTGTAATGAGAATTGCAGCCATTTAAGACAACTGCTCTCTGCTGGGTTTAGGTAGGTTCGCACACGGCATAAGCTTCAATTCTCCTGTTAGCAAAACTGCCCCATAAGAGCTTATAATCTTAAGGAGGGGGTTTATAAACTAACTGTAATCCACAAACAACTATTTGCTGAAGAATATGCTGAATATCTGAGCCCGCACAGGCTCTGACGTTTCTAGATGCGTCTACAGAACTTCAAAATAAATTTTTATTTGCTCAAGATTCACTTTTTAAATTGTTGGCCATTGTGGCATTATGAAGTCAATAACTTTTTAAAGAAATCACCCCTAGAATAATTCCTCTGTGGAACCAATACCAGTCCCTCAGTGACCCTGAGCCAAGCGATTGGGTCTCAGGCACCTCCCTGTTTCAGGCGGTTCCCAATGCCAGGGAAAAGCGAAAGGGCTTGGGAAGGTAACAGGAAGGCGAGGGACAGAATTCTCCCAGCAATCCTCCATCAGAGCAAAACACCAACATGTGCGTTGAACGAGAATGTGCATTGAATAAGAATGTGCATGGGCCAATTATGGAAATTAATATGAAAGTTACTATGTGGTAGAAAACATAGAGGCTTTAGGGTTACCAGGATTCGAGTCTTACTGAGTTACACTTTTTTATTTTTAGTGAATTGTGGGTCGAATAATTTTGGGAAAGTCCTATACATGTCCAAGTCCTCTTCTATGCACAAAGCGGGTGGGACTGTTTAAGGAAGATCCACAGCATGGTAATATTTCTTCTCAAAATCACAAAGTCTTTCTTTATTTAAGAGTCTTCAAAGTCAGCCACCACCACCTGAGCCCAGGGTTCTCAATGATTCTTTAAAAGCTGCCAAGTCCCATGTCAGCTCCAGGTCAAAGCAGAGTTCAAGGGGAAAGACCGGCCTCTCCACAACCGTGGGTATGTCTGTAATGCCTGTCCGTTCTCTGTGGTCTCCTTCCAGGAACACAGCCGTGGTGGCAATGGCAGCCTAGAAAGGGTCTCAAGCCACCTACCCAGGACCCACCTGCCTTCAAAGACAGGCGGGTGGTAAATGGACGCCAGATGCTGCTTCAGCTACCAGCGATTGTGGGTATAAATTTATCCTCGCCATAATCTTGCAAAATCTGAGGCCCTTAGTTTGGGCATTAAATGCTTCAGCTACTTTTACATTTCCCATCATTTAATATTTTCTCAATCGTGTATCCACTGCTTCCTCTGCTACTTAAGGCAGCAGTGAAAGGAGTATTTAGGGTTTAGAGCACCCATTCTGGCACCAGGCTGGCTAGTTTTTTTTCCTCTTACTCTTGATTCCACTAGTTGTGTGACCTTGGGCAAAGTAATTTCCTTAGGCTTCAGTGTCCTCATCTGTAAAATGGGTAATACTAGGGACTGGCTCATAAGGCTGTCCTGAAGATTAAATACCCTGTGCTTAGAACAGCATCTGGCACATGGGTAAGAGGAATGACAAACATGGGCAGTGACACCCGCTGAGGACCTGACATTCCCCAAGGCCGTGTGCTGCTCACCCTCCCCCTGCATCCACAGCACACAAACTTGTATCTTGTTATTGATACAAGTATCTTGTTATTGAACTTTTTTTGGCAGAAAAAAAAAGGAATCATTGGCTAGGTACGGTGGCTCACGCCTGTAATCCCAGCACTTTGGGAGGCCAAGGTAAGAGGAATGCCTGAGCCCAGGAGTTCAAGACCAGCCTGGGCAACATAGCGAGACCTTGTCTCTACACTAAATCTAAAAAAAAAAACATTAGCCAGGCATGGTGACATGCACCTCCTAGCTACTTTAGAGGCTGAGGTGGAAGGATAGCCTGAACCCAGCAGGTCGAAGCTGCGGTGGCCATGAACTTGCCACTGTACTCCAGTCTGGGTGACAGAGTGAGACTCCGACTCAAAAAAAAAAAATCTTTAACTCTTGTTGGACTTGAAAGTGGCCAGTATGCACACCTGGACTGTGGTCCGCACAGAAGCTGCCTCAGGGTTCCCCACTCCGGTCTTTTACCAGTCAGGGAGCACCCTCGCTGCCATCCAGGAGGACTTCGTGAGGACTGCAGACTCATCTTTGCTATTAGAGAGTTGCTTAAGGCTGAACTCCTTTCCTGATGTGTGCTAAAAGAGGGAATGCCCAATGAAGGAGTTATTTAGTGAGAATTAATAAGACAACGTGTTCCTGGGGGAGGATGTGGCCAGTAAATGTCAGCTTCTCCACCTACGAAGAATCCAACTATTCTCAGATCAAGTGGCTTTGATCATGAAGTGTCACCCGCCCACAGAAGAATTTCCTATCGAAGCAAAGGAGAGACAGGGGGCAGATGGCTGACCCTAGTGGAGGCCCATGGGAGGCCCCAAGAGGCTGTGGACAGGAGGTAGGCCAGAGGCATCTGAGGGTTAGTGCTGGCGCCACTGGGACTGGGGCAAGCCAGGGGCATCACTCCAGGGCCTTAGCCCCTCTGCCAAGTTGATGACCTGTTCAAGCCTCTCCCGAAGATAAGGTCACCTGACTCCACACATCCTGGCTCCACTGCCATCCCGCCTCCAGGAACCCAGAGCCCAGGGCCCATAGGCTGGAGTCTGGCCCGCCCAGAACTACCCGAGCCGGAGGGAGCCTTCCACACCTGAGGCTGTTTGCTCACCTGTAAGTCCGGGCCAGTACTCATTAGCCCACAATCATTATAAAGACGTTTATGAAGTATTTTATTAAGAAACATCTTATTAAATAATTTTTTTAAAAACGCTGTCAGACACAGTGGCTCATGCCTGTCATCCCAGCACTTTGGGAGGCCCGGGTGGGAAGATCGCTTGAGCCCAGGAGTTCCAGACCCGCCTGGGCAACACAGCGAGTCCTCGTCTCTTTAAAAAATAAAATAAAATAATTAGCCGGGTGAAGTGGCGCACCTGTAGTCCCAGCTACTGGAGAGGCTGAGGCGGGAGGATTGCTTGAAGCCAGGAGGCTGCAGTGAGCTGTGATCATGCTATTGCACTCGGGCTTGAGCGACAGACTGAGACCTCGACGCAAAAAAAAAAAAAAAAAAAAAAAGACATGTAGGAAAGCTCTTTGCAAACCCTAGTAGAAGATGCAGCCATACCGAGATTGACATCAAAGTAATGCAACTGGAGGAAGGTGTTAAATGCGTCTGAATCCTGACCGCTTCAGAAGCCCCACCGGGGAGTCTCCATCTCACCTAGGGAGGCCGGAGCCAGGTGAGCCGCGAGTTCCCATAGCAACCTCCTCCACGCCCTCTGCATTTTTTGTCGGAGGAATTTAATCCCGCCGACAAACCAGCGCAGCGCCCCACGTCACCTTTCCTTTAAAGGACGCAGGCCGGAGCCCCGCCCACTACGGAAGGCGAAGGGGCCTCGCCGCGGAGCTGGCTCACTGGCTCCTGCCAGACCTTACCAAACGCCAACTTCGGTACAGGTAATGCTAAAGGCGAGGGGGGCGGAGCGGTGAGGAGACCTGGGGTGGGCGGACGGGGTCAGGACGTCAGGGGACGTGCCTGCGGAGGAGGCGGCACTTCGCTCCGCCGCGTCCCTGGAAGGTCGGAGCCACCGTGTCCCGCCGGGCGGAAGGCGAAGAGGCCCCGCCCGGGCCCTGCCTCGGAATCAGGGGTTCGGCCGGGCTACAGAGCCGCCTTCGGCTCCAGCCCGCTGCCTGAGCTTCCGGGTGCCGCCGCACCCACACCCGGCGCCGCTCCTACTGAATCCTGCTGGTTCCGCCCCGCTATTCCGCCCCACCTCCGCGCACGCACGCAGGACGTCCCGTCGTCCCTATGTCTCCTCTCTGGCCGAGGTGCGCCGTGAGTGGCCTGCTCGAGGTGGGCGTGGCCGTCGCTGCTTCACGTGACCGAGTCCGCTCGTCCCGGAAGCGCTCCCGGCCCCTTGGTGCCTGGGTCTCGCTTGGGCACCTGCGCACGCGCCTGCGCAGAAAGACTCGGGCAAATGTGTCAACCTTGCTACCTGCTGTCGCCGGAGGAGGCCGTAGTGGGGAGGATCGCGAAGTGACTGGGATTTCTTATTTTCCCATATATCATTAGGCACTAATGGCCTAAGATCCCCGAAAGAAGCTAAATAAGTTTTCTTACTAAGAAGCCTCAGTGCCAAGTACGTGTTATGAAAAGCCTTAGTCCAAGACAAGTGAAGGGGAGGGTACGGAACGTCGACTATTGATCGTGCCAGGCACAACACAGGAATGAATGCATCCGTCTTGCTCCTGCTTCCTAGAATCCACGGTCTAGTGAGGGAGAGCGGTAGTAATAAGATAACCACAAAATTAATAACTCTGATTAAGTGCCTTAAGGGAAAGAGAAACTGGAGCATTGAATGTTCAGCTCAACCAATTGGGGGAAGGGTGGGCGATCTGGCTTAATTTGGGAGGTAATCAGAAGACTGCTTGAGAATACGGGCATTTCCTGAACCAAGGGAAAGAGTACTGTGTTTCTGGACACCGATGCCCAGTGTGGCTCAGGCAGGGAGAAGCGGGAGAGGTGAGAGGGGCCTTCTGGCCTGGCAAAGGTGTGGGTCTTTAGTCCTGGGGTGGTTTGAAGGTGGGGAGGGCGCTGGGTGTGATAACTGCAGGGCAGTGGGGAGCATGGTTGCTGGGCTGGAGAGAAAGGTGTTAGAGCCATTAGGAGACAGGTGGGAATCCAAACAAGAGGTGGTTGATGGTGGTGACCATGGAAGTGGAGGGGACTGGATGGACTCAAATGGGGTTAGGAGGTAGAGTTGCTGGGAGGTGGTGTCAAGTTGTGGCATCCAAGGGGACTGGAGGCTCACCTGAAATAGCTATAGGCACACGTTTCATAATTTCCCACTTTATGGCTTACTACTTAAATCATTACAATTTCTTATGGAATATGTGAGTCACACATTAAAATGACTCTGTATTGTGTGCATGTTTTCTTCATTACCTAAAAAAGTCAGTGATGATGCCAAAGAGGCATCTTCATTCCCTTTGGGTTTTTTTTGTTGTTGTTTTTGAGTTGGTGTCTCATTCCTTTGCCCAGGCTGGAGTGCAGTGGCATGCATGCTCATGGTCACCCCAGTGTCGATCTGCTGGCCTCCGGCGATCCTTCCACCTCAACCTTCCGAGTAGCCAGAACTACAGACGCGCGCTATCATGCCCGACTATTTTTTATGTTATTGTTGAGATGAGGTCTTGCCAAGTTGCCCCGGCTGTTCTCAAACCTGTGGGCTCAGGTAATCCACTCACCTCGGCCTCCCAAAGTGCTGGGATTACAGGCTGAGCCACCAAGCCCAGCCCCTCTTTCCCTTTGGATGGAGACTTAGTGGTCAAGTCTCAAGTAAATAAGGAACAAATACAAAACGATGTGTCTCTGCAATGTGGAGTCAGCTACTGAATGTAAAGCTCCCATCAGATCCAGACTCATGCGTACAGTGTGGTTTCTGTAAGGTCAGAGGAGTTGTGAAATCAGGAATGGACATCTCAGACTATAAAGTCATGCAATTTAAGGAATTGACATTAAGTAATTAGCTTTTAGAATATTTTGGATTCTCTGAGTGTATAGTCATGAGAGTAAGAATGTAGTAAATACACCAATATTGTCGTAAGTATTTTTTTATTAGGTTACTGGTCTAATCAGCTTGGTAATATGTATTTGACAGAGTATCAGAGACTTCTTTCAGAGAACTTGGCTTCCTATTCTACATGCACCTTGAAAGGTCAAGGATAATCTCAGACATTCTAGCTTAAATTACCCTTGAGCCCACGTGCATTATAATGTTTTATTACTCATCTTCTTAAATTTCGTTATTTTGCTGTTGTTGTTGTTCTAACCCAGTGGTTCTTAACAAGAAAGAGGAGAGGAAACATTTGTGTTTTGAAAAGCTTCCCCTGGTGATGCTGACAGACTCCAGTTTCCAAAAAACACTTTCCTAATGTCAACATGGTAACTTGTAACTGCTCATTAGCAAACAATTATACAAGCTCTACCTCAAACTGAAACCATCACCATTTATGAGACACTTTTAGACTTGGGTTTGATGAAGACTAGATGGAGAAGTAAAGGTGATATTTACCAAAAAATTGAATTCACAAGAAAATTCAGAATTTTAGGATTGTCAAGTTCCTTATTTATAGATCACTTAGACATAGTCATGAAACTAATATGGGGAATGTATTTTTAAAAGAGGTACAAAGCCAGAATGCTGCTGTGTTAAATTGCAGTGAAATTTAGAGCTGACACAGACTAGAACAGTCATGTTGGCGTGACTAGTGAACTTTTTCCTCCCCATAGCCTATTGATTTGATCTTTAAAAAGTTTTAATTTATTTTAATTATGAAAAAATTTAAACATGCAAAAAGTTGAAAGATGAATAACTGGACCCCCATGTGACCATAATGCAGATGCAGTGAATGCTGCTATGGTTGCATCATCTACCCTTATGTTTCCCGCTGAGTCACCTCAAAGCCAAACGACATTACCTAAATGCTTCAGCATTTGTTTCCTGAGAATTCCATTTTCACATCTAAGGAGCTCAACAGTACTTCTCTAATCATCTCTAATACCTAGTCCCTATTCAGTCCCCCTCCCCAACTTGCCAGCATTTTATAATTATGTTTCCTTGACCTTTTAATCAAGAAGAGCCTCCGCCTTCCCTTTTCATTCCCAGTGACATGGACTTGTTTAGACATCAAGCCAGCTATCTTGTTCCACAGTCTGGATTTGTCAGATTGTTCCCTGTGGTTTCCTCTAAGTTGTTCCTCTGAGTGTGGCCTTAGGATACCCTGGAAATTAGATACAGGGTCCTGACACAAGTCGAGTTCAGGTGAAACCTTCTGGGCAAGGCTGCTACCTAGCAGGTGCCTGCGTTCTGTGTGGCTTTGCAGGTGTGTGCTGAGGTGGCGGGTTACCCCACTGCTGAGGATGCTGGCTCTGATCTTTGGTTACGATGGTGACAATGGCCTCCTCGGCAGAGCATGTTTTTCCCTTTTCAGTCTGGAAGTAATCTGGGTCACCCTTTGGCATCAGCCTTCCATCTCAATTTTTGCATCCATCCTTGCCCAAATCAGTGATTTCACTGGAGATGACAAAAGAGTGATTTTCTGATTACTTTTACTTTTCTTCTCTACTTATTAGCTGCCTGTCTTTGGTAAAGAAGAGCTTTTCCTCACTCACTGGGCATGAGTACAGCTCTCCCTGAAAAGGTAGGATACATGCTCCGTTCTTTTCATGTAATTACTAATTTACCAATGTCCAAAGTAAGGAATCAGGGTAATATTCTCGTGCAGTCGTGGCATATCATCATTTTCATAGATGTTTGTGTATTCAGTGTGTTGAAATGAATGACAGTCATTATTCCATCATGTTTAAATTATGCCAACTTTGACAAGTGGGAGTCTCTTCATGCTGCCAAACTGTAAGTGAAGTGTAAACAAACAAAATTATAACTGCCAAGAGATCTGAAAACTTGATGCTTGATGCTGCAAAGAAATGAGTATTAGGCCAGGCACGGTGGCTCACACCTGTAATCCCAGCAGAGGCCAGGGTGGGAGGATCACTTGAGCTCAGGAGTTCAAGACCAACCTAGATAACATAGTGAGACTTCGTCTCTACAAAAAATTAAAAAACTAGCCAGGCAGGGTGGCACACGCCTGTAGTCCCAGCTACTTGGGAGGCTAAGGCAGAAGGATTGCATGAACCCAGGGGGTCAAAGCTGTGGTGACCTGTGATCAAGCCACTGTACTCCAGCCTGGATGACAGAGTGAGACCCTGACTCAAAATAAATAGATAAATAAATATATGATTATTAATTAGGATAATGTGATTATCAACAGGATGACTGAGTACCTCTTAGAGATACCTACTGATAAAATAGAAATTGCTTCGAGATACTTCCTGATGGTTGGAGGAGACAGTCAATGGGCCAGAGAGGAAACCCATGTGCTGTTTATTACACTCTGCTTTCCGTACAAGGTGGAAAAGTCTCCTAACACAGAGTTTTACAATTGCAGATTTTTGTTGATATTGCTGTTTAAATTTAATATTACAGGTTGTTTTCTTAACTTCGTATTTATATTTTCACCTGCAAGAGTCTACTTTGAAGAAGCATGTGTATTTTCAACTTTGCTGATCTGAAGCCAAGACGCAGTTAATAGTATGGCTTAATTTCAGTAAGCTGCTTTGTCTACTGTATAAATCAAGGAAATCTGGAGCTTTTTAAAATTTTTAAATTAAATTTGAATATGGAAAAGGACTTAAAAACATGGTTAGTTCCACTATTTTACTACTCTTTCCCTTTCCCTTTTTTTCTTCTTGGAAAGAGTTTTTAAAGCTTTGTTGTTTTTCTGAAGTAGTCTTTATTTTGTAAATAAAATTTGTTTTCAAGTATAAAAATAATACTTCCTCCTCAAAAAAAATAAGAAATAATGTTAATTAGAAAAATGGGGGGAAATCACTTTTATCTTTAACGTCAACCGGGATTTTCATATATATTTCTTTCCATCTTTTTCTTATATTTAGTTTTTTCATTTGCTCTCTTGTTTGAAAAAAAACTCTACACCCTACACTCTGAAATAATATTTTTTATTTTAGTATGTTGATAATTTGTTAAACAGGACACATTTGATTTTATCCATAACTGCTGGGGGGAAAGGCATATAATAACTTAAATAATTGCCATATATATTGAGTAACATAGCTTCACTGAAGTATGATGACTTCTGTATCCTTGCTGCTGATGTAGACTTTGGGAAGAAACAACACTGATTTTTAGACGTGGAGTTTACTGGGTCTAAAGCAGGAACTGACAGTCCACTTGCACCGAGCACTTTGATAATCAGGGAATGCCTCATGAAAGTTGGAACTACATGCTGCTGGTTTTCTGATGACAAATGAAAAAAAGTTCTCTGAACTTTCATGTTTTTCTGCCCTTTTTTGGCTTGGAGGCTTCCTCCACCAGCAGAGTTGACTTTTTATTAAACTCAACTATTTAAAACCCACTTTGCTCTCACCTTATAGGCTTTACAACATCTACAGCTCTGTAACTGACCATACTTTTTTGTAAATATCACTCAACATTAGGGGTGAGGGACCAAGATGGTTAGGTTCTGTGAGCTGTGCAGCCCCAGGGGATCAAAGCCAGAGACCAGAAGAAATTTCCAGTTTCCAGCACCCCAGGAGATTCTCATGCAGGTGGGGCTGGTTAGCACCACAGAGCTACCGCCTGTCTTCCTCGTTCACCTTTGACAAGTCACATTTCCTTGAGTCCCTGATTCTCTAATATTTCTCGGCATACCCTAGATGACACAATCAGGTCCTCCCATACTCCTTCAGCCTGTGCTGCTAAAGTTTACCAAACGCATGAATGGGAGGAGGGAGACAAAGTAAAATATCAAAGTGCCATTTGTAGGTGCTTCAAGGTCAATCTCATAACTATGAGGTAAAACCAGCATCACCATACAGACCTCAGTCAACATTGGATGGTGATGCCTGCCTTGCCCAGAGTCTGGGTAGTCGAATGGGGTCAGCACGTTGGCTTATGTCAGGGTTTGTCCTTTCTGACGTCTCAGTTCTTCTAGCAGGTCAGTTCCCTTCCTGGAGAGCCCCCTTGTCTATAATAGTGCTCTTATCCAGTGTAGTCCAGCAGATGGATTGGCAAATGGTTAACAATTGATTATATTAGAGGTTCATGAATTGGTGTTTATCAGCCACCCAGCGTTTTAGATGCTGCATCCTCCTAAATAAACTCAAGGTGACATTTGCTTTTGGAGCTGCCACTACAAGATCCGTGGGAAGCACAGTTGGCCCTTGAACAACACGGGTTCATTAGACAAGGGCTTTCTTCTGCCTCCGCCACCCTGAGACAGCAAGACCAATCCCTCCTCTTCTTTCTCTCCTCCTCCTCCTCAACCTGTAGATGACCAGGATGAAGACCTTTATGATCCACTTCCACTTAATGAATAGTAAATATATGTTAGCTTCCTTATGATTTTTAATAACATTTTTCTCTAGCTTACTTTATTGTAAAATACAGTAGATAATACATATAATGTACAACATATGTGCTCATTGATTTACATTTTTGGCAAGACTTCCAGTCAACAGTAGGCTACTAGTAGTTAACTTTTGGGGGAGTCAAAAGTTATACTCAGATTTTTTGAGTGAGTAGGGGTTGGTACACCTAACTTCCTCATTGCTCAAGAGTCAACTGTTTGGTCAAACGAGATGACATCTATGGAAAACCAAAGGGCTGCAAATCTGGTTTATTCTGATACCACTTGTACTAGGAACAGCAGCACCAGGGTCACAGGATAGTCCATCCTATTGGCATGAATTTTCTACACATGGCTTGGTAGTCCAGAGACCAGCACTTCTATATCATCTGCAGATGACATGGTCTCCGCAGCCTCACACATGCCATGTACCCCAGTGTCAGACTGTGGGAATAAGTGATGGGAGTTTTAATGAGCTTTTCTTACTGCTTTTTAGGATGGCTGCTCTTTTTCTAAAGAGGCTAATGCTACAGACCCTAAAAACTGAAAGTAATTGCATCGCAAGGTGTTTTGTTCAACAAGTCGTACGGAAGACGCCACCAGCTCAGCTGTTCCCTATAGCTTCTGCCCCAAGACTGTCCTGCCTAATTCATGCAAAAGCTTCTAGTACTGTCACAGACACCCAGGACGAAAGGAAAAAGAAAAAAAGGAATGACACCGTTTTTAGTAACACCGGAAGAAAAATTAGTGAGCGGATTATTCACGTCGTCGACGAGAACGGCAATGATCTAGGACACATGCACCGAGCAGATGTGATTCGACTCCTGGACGAGCGCCACCTACGGCTGGTCCTGAGGAATGCCCGCGTGGAACCCCCGGAGTACCAGCTCATGACGGGGATCCAGATCCACCAGGAGCGCCTGAGGCAGAGGGAGATAGAGAAGGCCAGACCCAAAGCCAGTAGGTGTCTTGCCAGGCGCCCCTCGATCCCATCAGGACTGCAGATCAGAGCTCGGATTCTGACCCAGGTGCCCTGGTCATGGGGAAGGGCCTGGAAAAAGCATGGTCCCACATCCCTCACGGGGTTCCATTCCTTTTCCCTTGTCTTTCCTTGGTCCTGTGCCCACAGTCTCTCCCTGTAAGCCTGTGTCGATGAGGGGAAGTGAGCGAACCCAGACAGTGGGAACTCACCCCACCCTGCTGTCTTGAATGCCCTGAAGCAGCATAGCTGGTGGGCGTATCGGGAGATGGTTCCAGCTTCCCACCCTGTCCATCCTCAGCTACCCGTTTAACTCCTTCCCGTTGGTCCTCCCTCTCCATCTCTCAGAGGGGTGTTTAATTATCTGGAAGCACCTTTAACACCCTGGGGTGATTCATGAACATCTCATGCCAAAGCACTCTGACCGTCTCAGGAGTGGCTCTTACTTGCATATCTGGAGGCTCCCGACACCTAAGCCTCATGGAAGCCATGAGTGTGGATGTTAAGTGAAGGTGTTTTTCATGGTTCCTGGAAAGGACAGATTATGTTCAGGGGACAGCACATGGGACAGATCAGGAGACTGGTCCCAGTGCTGCTGTCACAAGGTTGTGAACCTTGAGAAAATCACGTTATCTGTGGATGTTTTATAACATCCCATTTAACGAGAATATTGACTGTAAGACAAAGTAATATTCAGAAGAGACCAGCCAGGGGGAAGAAGGACATCCAGCAAAGCCACACTGAGCAGACTAGAGAAGTGTGAGGAGTAGAGGGCTCACATCAGCGTCATTCCTGTGATCTGACGAGAGCCAGGGCCACCTGGTAGGCACGCTAAGGAAGCAGGGTGTTAACACCTTTTTGAAAAATGTTTTTTAATTTGAAAATTTAAAAGCTTACAGAAAGTGATGAACATGTTACCCATCCTCCAGAATGAACCAGTGTTAACACTGTGCTTTAGGCTTTTAAGCCAAACATGGCAGAAACGTTGAGGTCCCCGACTCCCTCCCTCTCTCCCAAGGTACCCTGCTCATGCCCGGGCATTTATGTGTGGCCACAGTTCATGCTGACCTCCAGTTATATTCAGATATGTTCAGAAGTGGTATACAGAATTATTTCCTGTGTTTAACAAAATGATAGACAATTGTTTCCAAGACTGATCCATGTTCATTTAATGGCTACAGCTAACTTAATTACCAGATGACCTTCCATTATGAGGATACATCACCAATGTTACTCCACATCCAGATACTGGGCTTGTTCCCAGTTTTTCATACGATGAACACTGGGGCATCCTCTCGAGTCTGTGACCCTAAGTGGGCCACACTGCTCTCATCAGCATGTATAAGCATTCTTTTTCCACCTCCTCCCCTCACTCGGTACTGTCAGACTCCAGCTTTTGTCATGCTGATGGTGTAAAGCCATATCTTACTCATCTGTATTCCCTTTCACCATCTGAGTTTTTCTTCTGTGAGGTGCCTGTTCATATCCTTTTATTTAGATGGTTTATTTTTCTTCCAAACGTGCAGGGTCCTCGGTTGTATGCGATGTAAAAACCTTACGCCAGTTAGGTTTTTCACTTTTTCTGCCTTTTTTCTTTTATTAATGAACTCCTTCCCCTATCCTGAGGTCACAAACCCTTCTGTCTTTTACTCTGTTAAAGTTGCATTTTCCACCTGTAGGCCATAGTCTATCTGAGAGATCTCACTTTTCCCCACATGAGAACTCACAATTGTCCCAACAACCTTATCGAGGAGGCTGTTCTATCTTGTCATTTTCTTTTAGGCAGGATTTCTGGAGACAGAGCCCATGAAGGTGGGATGGAGGGAGTTTCCTCTTCTGATAGAGGCAGGTGACCCTTAGTCGCAGAAAAGGGATGGGTGAGAAGAGTGCTTCCCAGATGCTGACCCATGTCAGAGAGAAAATAAGGAAGTCACGTTTACCATAAAGCTAAACTTGGTCCTTTTAAATGGCCATTCTTTTGGTGTTATTTCAACAAATGACAGTTAAGTGGAAGCATTTCAGCTCTTAAATCCCTTCATGTGGCAGGTAAAACCTTGACGTTTCTCTCCCATTTCAAAAAAATCTCCACTGGCCTGTGAAACACAGGACCAGGGACCACAGCCAAAGATGCTGTGAAGGGCACGGGGAAGGCTCAGCTGTCCCAGCAGATGAGTCTGTAGTCCAGCCCCAACCCTTGCTGTTTCCAACCAGGACCAACCCTGACAAAGGAAGTGATTTTTTCTTCAAATATTGGACAACATGATTTGAACACAAAGAGTAAGCAGATTCAGCAGTGGATTGAAAAAAAACACCACGTTCAAATTACTATAAAGAAAGGGAAAAATGCAGATGAGCCAGAAAATAAAATGGTGAGTAGAAGCAGGCTTGTGCTTTCTGTCTTCTGATTTAAAAACACAATTGTAGAAAATCTGGGAAGTTTGAAGAAAGTGACTGGTAATTCATGACCCAGTTATAACTTTCCAAGTTTGTTTCTCAAAACATAAGCATATTCTATGTACATTTTCCACTGTAGCATATCTTGCCATATGAAAACATTTTATCATTTAAAGGCTATATACATTTTACAATTTGTAGCATATCTACCCTTTAATTCCTATTTAAAGGAATTTCATCGTTTAAGTCCTTTTCCCCTCTGTGCTGACACAGCACCACACAGACTGTCTTCTAGAAAGTGCATGTCAGTGTACAGTCCCGGGGTAAGTCTGTGGAGTATCTACTTCACTTTCCAAGCTAGAGAACTAGACCACCCCTGAAGGCAGCCTTGGTCCAGTGGCCTTGAACCCTTGCTCCATGAGGCCCAGGCCCAGCCCGCTGAGGCAGAATTTCTGGAGCCAGATCTGCTTTATGAACTCACCACAGGTGGCTGTTAGCGAGTGGTGGGTGAGTGCTAGGAGTGCACTGGGCTGACGATGTGGGGGATCAGGAGGTGTTTTGCCAGTGCCCAAGCCCACACTTTGTGTGTGTTTCTTGGGAGGGTATTCTGGGGCCAAACACAGTGCTTAGAGCCACGGCAGAGTGGAGATTTAAAAGAGGAAGCTTCAGTGAGCTGTTTAAGTTACACGGGTTACTGCACAGATGCCAGTCAGCTGGACAAGAATGGCCTGATAGGCTGATCACTTAAATAGCAATCCAAGGATGCTGGTCTTTATGTGTCCGAGCATGAACACTAGGCATCAAAGGCACTGCTTTTAAACTCATCTTTGGCTGTTTCCCTTTTTCAGGAGGAAATAGTTCATCAAATACTCCAGACTATGCCTGGGATAGCCACCTTCGCATCCAGGCCCCAAGCTATTAAAGGAGGAAAAGCTGTAATGTGTGTCCTCCGTCCCTTGAGCAAAAAGGAAGAGACTGCGTACAGAGAAGCTCTGGAGACCCAGCAGAGAGACACTTTGCACAAGGACAGTGGAAGTGACAGAGAATCAGATGCCTGGCATCAGTGATGTTAATAAAGTATGCTTCTGAGAAAGGAAGCTCACTAGTCTGTGGTCCTTTAACAAAGCACCGCTCCACTCAGTTGAGGGTGAGGATGACGACCGTGGAGAGCACCCTGTCATCCACATGGGGCAGCGACTGTCCCTCCCAAGATGAGGACACATCCTGCTCTTCTGGTTTCCTTTTGGGAGGGATGTAGCCACTGAGCCGAGAGGCCAAACTTCGTTTTTCACGAGGTTTTTTTACCTTTGGGAATAAGGGAAATAGACGATCAGAACTCAAAATCAAAACCCTCTGAATTATTCTCACAGTAGCTGCCTACACCGGTGGGTATCTATACAACACTCCCTTACGAGGAAGGCAAGGCTTCAGGGGTAGCGCAGACTCAGCACAGCAAGGCAGCTAAGAATATTCCAAGCAGATGCTGCCTGGCTTTGAACAATTTCTGTTTGAAAACAGCGTACCTAAGTAGTTTCCACTTACTTTGAGTTTCATCTTCCTCTTATTGGGATCATGTACAACGGCGTGCCTGGTGAGACTTTGCTACCATGAAAGAAAAGGAAAGTTACTCAAAACCTTGACATTCACCGTCTGTTAATATGAAAACTCTAAGAGTGTGGCTTGAGGGAACAGCCCTCCAGCTAATCCCCCTGGACCTGAGGGAAACCCCTTCCTCAACTCCTGGGCTTAAGCCACTACCTTTTCCACAACGCCACCAGTGGCTTCTTAGTTCTTGGATAAGGAAGGAGTGGAGGGAGCCTGCTGTAAGTGAACCATCCCAAGGCGAAGAAGGTTCTTGTAACTGATTCTGTCTGAAGAGTCTCCTAAGCGCCAGTGGGAATTCTGACCAACGTGTCATCCTGGATGATAACGCTGACCGCCAGGGCCCCTGCTGTGTCTGATGGTTGGGAACTACTGAGTGAGCCCTGCCTCTCCCTCCAGTTCACGTAAGTCCAGGTAAGAACCTCCCAGAGCCAACCAGAGTGAGAGGCTTCAAAGCTGCCCAGGCCCCCGCTGAGGGCCGTGTTCTCACCTGCCTGCCAAGACCTGGACTAGAGCCCAAGGTCGGTGGCCTTTGCCGCCCCGCTGCCCCTCTTGCTTCCGAGGCCCGGCGTGACGGCGCTCGAGGAGGACACCCTGGCGTCACACGCTCGAGAATAACCAGCAGACGACACTAAGGCTGCTGGTTCTCACTTTTAGAAGGCCTGGGAGCCCCTGGAGGATCTATTAGGACACGGGCCCCCTAAGTCCCGGTTCACAGGTCCAGGGGAACAAGTCTGCAGACCCACCAGGCTCCCGCTGGTGCTTTAATACTGTGACAGCCACTGGCCTTGACACACCTGCCTGCTCCGCAGGCTTCAGCTCACCCCAGGTAAAGGAAGAAGGAAAGGCGTGTCTGGAGCCCACCCTGGAACCCAGGGCTCCCGGGGAGCCCATGAAGGCACAGACGCAGGACCCGCGTGACAGGCGCACCCACCTTCATGGCGAACGTCTTGCCGCAGCCAGCATGCTCACACACAAAAGGGCGCTGCTCCTCATGGAAAGACAGGATGTGGCTCTGGAGATTAAACACGGTGGTGTAGGTTCTGGCACAGCCCTCTCGCGGGCACCGGAACACGTCCCTTTCAGGGACGTGAGTTTTCATGTGCTGCTTCAGGAAATCCTTGCGTTTAAATGTTTTCTGACACACGTCACACATGATTTCCTCTGGCGGAACAAATAGATTTAACCAATTTCCACATAGAAAAATCTGAATACGTTAACAAATTCAGTGCCTAAAGCCTCATCACTACACACAAATCAGAAACTTCCAAGGAAACTCCAACCTCCATTTCTATGGCCTAGAAAGCCTGTCTCAATCCTCCAAGTTCTTACATTACCACAGCGCCATGCACTCACCAGGGGCGGGGCTGTCAGCTGGGAGCCCCGGCAGGTGGAGATGAAGTGGACCAGCCTCCTTGTGCTGGCCCCAGGCACTGTTCAGTGTTTGTCAACTGTCCCACAGAGCACTAGGGCCTCCCCAGACTGCACCACAGATCTGCCCAGCCCTGACACACACCAAGTGCACATGGCAGTGCCCACACAGGCCTGGCACAGCTCACCCGACAGCACAGCCGCCAGCGCTCCACAAAGCATCACCCAGGAACCTTTACTCCACAGCACACAGCGAACGCTCTTGGAAACCACTGAGTCAGCTCTGTAGGGACACGCCACCATGCCACTTGTGCCCACCTACCTTTGTGGGCTTCTCTCATATGTTTCAGAAGTTCTGTCCACATTTTCGCCACAAAGGAACACCCTTTTTGACATATATAGCCTATGAGAAAGAAAAAAAAAGATGGGTGCACTTCCAGTCAGGACCATGCAGCACACACACTGGCCTTCACCAGAAGGAATCCCACGTGCCGCTCGAGTTTCTCCCGTCTCCCACAAGGACTCCCCTCTTTGCCTCTAGAGGTGGCCTTACGCTGCAATAAGACCCAACGCTCGCAGGAGGGTGCTTCCCACTGGGGCTTGCCTTGAACCTCCCCGGATGCCCTGCTTGGTTCTCAGGAAGCCAAGGTACTGCTCTGCTCCTGCCCCACCCACATCTGTGTGTCTCCCTTCCTGTCCCTGCCTGCTCTGTGCTGCCTCTGGTGACCTCAGCAAATATGTGCCATGATCCTTTGTCCCTGGCTAGCCAACAACACTGACTCTCGCAGTCACAATGCCCACCCCAGCTGCCTCTGGGTTGCCATATAAACCAAAGCAGGGGATGGCCAAGGAGGAAAACAAACGAGAAGAACCCAGAGAAAAACACCAGACATAAACAGACACATGCAAAGCACAAACACCAGACTACTCAGTCAGTTTAACAGGCAGATTGCGTTTCACCCAACTGGGAACTCGAAAAAGCGGAGCTCCCTCTCATCTCAGCTGCTAAGCTCTTGTTTTGAAAAAATACAAATTCTGGAACCCAGGAAACGGAAACACAGATACCAAAAATCCCTCATGGAATCAGGTGAAAGATTCAAATAGTTAATGTAATCAACTC